AAAAAAAAGAAAAAAAAAAAAAAGACAAACAAATACAAATGCATGAGTATTTATGGGGTGGACATAAAGAAGGAAAATAAGTGAGCATGTGAAACCCGAACTTAAGAACAGATAACGTACTTGTAAACCTGCCACTCATATGGGGGGCCATAATTGCAACCCTTACTATTTCGGTGTTCAAACTTCAAGGCAACCTACATGATGACAAGATATATGATAAATTCAGACCGACAAGGTACGATTAGTTCAAACTTCAAGACAAACCTACATGATGACAAGATATATGTATTTAATTCAGACCAACAAGGTACGATTGGATTTCACAAAATTCCTATCAGTAAATCACACGTGGAAAAAGGTACCTCGATAGCATCTGGTCCAGTTCTATCCGTCCCACCACTTACTCTACGACCAACATAAACTTGGCCAAATCCACCCTTACCTAATTTCCTTTCAGTCTTATACATCGGCGAATTGCCCACTTGTACCTGTACAAACAAATAAGAGAGGGTTAGTAGGTACTTCCCAAAAAACAACTAGTAAATAAGGAACAAAATTCACGGCTCCATACAAGCTGAAAAGGTTAAAACACCTATAATATTTCGCAGGATTTGATAATAAAATATGGGGGCGAGGATATTTTTTTGAGACATTTCAAGGTAAATAGAGGAGGAGAGATAGGGATTTGAAAGAAAAAAGGGGAACCGTGAATCTGACGATGGATTCGATTTGATAAGAAAATGGAATTTAATTTAATGTAGAAATGGTAAAATAATGATTCCACATGACTTGCTATATCAAATGTTCGAAAATGATAGTAAAATAGATGCTCTTGAAAGGTGAGAGAAAATGAAAGCGAAAATTTCTAGTACACATCCATGCCCTAAAATAATTACCCTTTCAGGCACTGGAGTTGTACCCGCTTCCTCTTCAACTCCCATTACTTTATCTGCGCTTCCACCGTCCATTGGGATTTCCTTATCCGCAACACCCTCCACTCTATTGAAAGCCGGTTCTCCAGCCCCAACACCAACAGCTTGAGGAAGAGCCTCACAAGGTGGCTCTGGATCCAAATCTATCAACCTAAGTCCCCTGCCTCTACCAGCAGCAGTAGGCCTAGCGGGTGTAGCAGCTGAAGGTCCCTTTCCTACTGCAGCTGCATTGCCTCTCCCTCTTCCCCTCCTTCTGGTTCTATTCTGAGCAGGTGTAACAAAGTTCTCTTCTTGATTAGCAGGCTGAGGGGCAGGCTGGAGATCAACAAGCCGTTTTGATCTCCGTGCTCCGCTACGCAATTCTGGCATCGTCACCCATGCAAAACACTTCCCACTCACTTCCTACGTTTGCTTAGAATCAACTGTAAAAGTAAAAGCGGCCATTGGAAGGCTAAACGTTAAAGAAGCAACTACCAAAGCCCAAACTTTTCAGTTTTTTTGAGAAAAAGTTACAAATTATAATCAAAACAACCACGTGAGAGAAATTCTTTTTAGCAAAACTTTCACAGAGTTAAATGCAAATATATATTCCTCATATGTATGGCTTCCAAATAGGAATTCCCAAGCAAGACGGCAGAATTTAATGCAGCACATTGGTAGATGCATATAACGCAAAGTAACAAAATAAAATAAATAAATTACAATCTATAGCTACTCCAACATCCATCAAAAGTTCTGCACAAGATCGGTCATGCAAAGGTAAAATGAGATCCTAAATTCTTAATGCAGTGATTTTACTGAAGATGGAAAATAAGCCATCCAACAAAGGAATAAATAAATAAAAATATCCAGTGGCAGGCATCTTATCGAGTGTTTTTTCACCTGTAATCAGAGAGGTTTAAACAGTTGATAACAGAAGCAGAAACGAAAATAGCCGCAGATCATACCTCACAAACATCAAAAAACAGGAAGATCGGAGAAAACCCGCGGAAAACATCCAGCTAAAGAACCCAATTCAATGAGCCGATCAATAGCAGATCTACGAAGGAACCTGAAAAGGTAAATCCATAAGGGAAGAAAACCCAAAGAGCGTGAAGGATTGAAGTTTGAATGTAAAAAAACAAAATGAGAAGTTATTGACGGCGGACCAAGGTATGAGAAGCAGACGAGAAGATAAAAGAATTGATGGTAGAATCAGAATCAGGGGCAAGAGTCGTGTATTTCCATGTTTATATGATATACATCGGTGCGGTAGCTAATAGATTCTATTGCTATCCCCTCTCTCTCTCCCCCACACACATCCACTTCTGTCTACGTTTTTATTATATACTACTAAATATCTTGTGCACATAAACATTCTAGTTTTTTCAACTATTTGTCAAATAAATGTCGTTTTGGATTTTTTGTACATATTTTTTCATTAGTACCTTCATTTAACCAATAAATACATTACGTCTTTTCGTATTCACTCTTCACCTTTTCTCAAAACATTCATCTCTATCTTCATTAAATAAGGTTATTATTGACATAAAAAATATTCTTAATTAGTGTGCAACTTCTCAAAACGACATATATTAAAAATAGGAGGTAGTATAAGTAATATTTGATAATTTAATATTAAAATTCTAGATAATAAACATATTACATTTTCAAAAATTTGATCATTAGAAAAAATATATTAACGATTTTATTATTATGAACAATTGTTTATTATCATTAGATAATAACAGTTTGATTATTATTATTATTATTATTATTATTATTATTATTATTATTATTATTATTATTATTATTATTATTATTATTATTATTATTATTATTAAAAACAATTGTTTATAAGATTCTAAAGTTGTTCGCACTAGATCAACTATTAGTAAACAAATGACCAATTAAAGGAGGCACCTGATGATCCTAGTTATTTAAAGGACATCGCAATATTGGCACCGACACTGGATGTTGAGTCTTTCAAGTACTTATCTGATTGTCATACGTGTTAGAGTAGGATACCCGGCGTTCCAATCTGATTGGACATATTCTACTTGTAAATACTATCTATTGGAATTATATTGTAAATGTTGTTATGTGATTCTTAACAACGATGTAATTTATGATTAAGTGGGTAATTTGGAATGACTTGAACGTAAAGCATGTAAGATTGAATCAACAATGGCCCCGGTCCGAGGTGAACCGAGGTGAAGAGCCGTGATGGGCTTTTACGTGTTGCTTTATCAAGTTTTTTCAGTTCGGAGAGAGAGAGAGCTCCCTCTACAAATGTCATAGGCCCGCTATTTATAGTGATTTCGGGTTGATACATTGGGATTTGTGCATGACTTTTTTGAATAAAGCTCCTTTTTGTGGGCGGTTCGAGGCGGGGGGTCCCACATAAATGATGACGGATCTTGTGGAGCTGGAGGGCCAGACGTAGGCGCCTTGTCACCTGCTTGGGGAGGTGACGACCTCGGTTCATGTTGACCTCGGTGGATGTTGACCACTTCGGTCTTCGGTAGTTCGGTCCGGTTTGTCGCCTGAACCGGGGTGGTGTATGTAACAACGTCGGTTCAACGATCATCTTCCTTCTAATGTGTTGTCTAGAATTCCTTAATGCATGTTTACCGATCCGGATGTTAACAGAGAGGCCCCCAACATCGAGGGGCATACGAAGTGATGGTCGTTGATGTTGCTACGTCAGACATGTAGAGACCCTGGATCGGTAAGAAGTCGGCGGTAGGATGTGGTCTATGGTGTTCGGTGGGTCATCTTCGGTTTATCTGCCGACGTAACCGAAGTGAATCATCTGTCCGAAGTGTAGACTGTATGCCGAGGTGAAGACACTTGGATAATTTTGGATAATCTTCAAGCAGTTAACGACATGAGTGGTGAACGGTCGTAACGGTCAACGAGTAAATGTTTAGGCCGAACGGTCGCGCCGTAATGGTCTTAAATGAGGTAACGGTCGACTTTAATAGGTAGCCACGTGTAACAGTAGGTGCCTCATCAGATGAAGGGGCGGCGTCGGTTAGGATTAGGGGTCGCGTTGGTTCGACGCGCCCCCAATGACGATACTCAACGGTCACAAATTGACGCTTATAAATAGGGCTTGGCGATATTTGATCGGATTTTCTTCACCTGTGCTTTTATTTTTCGAGCTTTCATATCGCTTGTTGTTGAGTTCATCTGATATTCTGAAGAATCTTCTTTGCTTGCTGTGTGAGAGATTTTCGGTAAGCTTTTCCTTCAATTTCTTGTGTTATTTTTCTTGTATTTCGTTCAATCGTTCGATGGCGTCGAAAGGAAAGGGAAAGGCGGTGGCAAGTTCATCGAGCACGGAGTCGGTTCCGTTGGACGTTTATCACGATTCGGAATTGGTCGAGTTGGCCTTTGAATATCACCGGTGGGACCCGTCGTTGGTAAGGCATCTGAATATCCAGTTAAACGACGAGGATGGTGACGTGGTGGTTGAGCATAATGCAACCGACCTCGCGGTGCCGCATTGGAGAAGACCGGTGAGGAGGTGGCTCGATCCGGCGATCGATTTCATTGGTGAGCCAAGTATTCTTACCGACGCTGACGTCGTCATGTTGAGGGAACAAGTTCGGATTCCCCCCTCAGTGAAAATCTTTGCTCCTTATCCCGGGGAGAGAATAACAAGTCCCCCTCCGGGTTGTGTGGGCGTTTTCGCGGAGAGTCTGAGGTCGGGATTGAGGTTCCCGTTGCCAAATTTGATCACGGAATACCTCCGGAGTTGGGAGTTACCGTTGTGCCAAATCACGCCGAATAGCTGGAAGAAGATAATCGGGCTAATGGTGTTACTGCACGAGAGGGGTGAGGGACTACCGTCGTGCGAGGAGATGAGGAGTATTTTTGCCTTTAAGCAAAGTCCGAAGAGGAGGGTGGCCGAATCGTCTTGTTGCTTTTTCGCAGGGGCGAAGCCGCAACATGGTGTTAAAGTTGGGGAAATTGTAACTGAGATTCCGGAGAGTCTCCACGGTTTTCAGGAGGAATGGGTGTGGATAGGCGGAGAATGGCAGTCGGTGGATTTCTTTCATGAGCGCCGAATTGATGGGATGACAATTCCCATGCTAATTCATTCCGGAGCCAGTGAGTTTACTTTCTGTTTTGTCAATTCGGATATGTTTGTCTGATTCTCGTATTGTTCTGTGTACTAACAGGTCGGAACTTTTACTCTGTTGTAGAAAAAGAGACAAAGCAAAAAGAACCGAAGTTAAGCCCGGAATTCGGTGGGAAGTTGATAACCTTGGCTGGTTTGGATAAAGCAGAGAGGGATTATCGCAAGCTGGTGGTTGATTCGAAACTTGAAGCGGCTGGTTTGTCTTTGGGAGTCACGACATTGAAATTTGACCCCGGTAAGAAAAGTTTAGTCAGTAAAAATGTCAAATTTTCTTGTATATATGACACAACTGTTTTTAACTCTTGTCTCTTGTTGATATGCAGTATATTATCCTCTCCTCGGTTTCTTGGGCTACAACTCTGTCAAGGAAGCCAAAGAGTTCAGACGTAAATTTCCGAACAAAGACCTTCAATCTAAAGTCGGTAAGAGCCGTGATCTGAGGTTAAACGACGCCATGAGGAGGGATCTTGTTCGCGCGTTGGTGAAGAAAACAGCTGGTCAGAAGAATGTTGGGAAAAAATTGACCGAGGTGGGGTCGAGTGCTACCTCGGCCGCTATGCCAGAGAGTCCAAAGTCTGTGCCCGAAGTGGCGGCTACCGAAGTGTTGTCGGTAGTAGAAGCTGTGGCGATTAA